ACCGCCCGGCCTTCCGGTGCAGGTGACTGGAGAAGGGGGAGGGGGGGGGGGTAGGGCACGCAAGTCTGGCAATCGCATCAAGCCCCCGCCCCCTCCCCCGCCACTCCTTTCACCAATCAACTCGAATGCCCCGGGGGGCGTGAACAGGGCCGGCTGATTTGGGGAAACAGACCGATAGCCGCATGGCAGTGCCGCAGCACGCAGCGCATAGTTACATGATTCCGGCCAATGGGCCCTGCGTTTCCCTTCCCTGCAGCCTCGCTCTGTCTCTCTCGCACCCACGCAGCCTGATTCCGAGCGCTCGTCGCTGTCTCTCTCGCACCCCTACAGGGCTGCAGCGCGCCGAAGGGCCCCAGTGTGTAATGCGCGGCGAGCACACAAGGCCCCCATGTTGACGCACGACACCTGTCTAGCCGGCTGTGAGGGATGTTGACTATTTGTGTTGGGCACGCTTGTTCTTGTTACCGCGTTAAACCGGCTCCACTTGGACGTGGTCTCGCAGTCTCGCGTTCCGGCTCCCCCCCCCCGGCCGGTCACGCTGACGTAACGGATGCCAATGCGGGCCAAGTCGCTCTGTCCCTCTCGCACCCCTACGGGACTGCCCACGAGTGCGAGAGAGACAGAGCGACGAAAGCACCGCTAGGAATCAGTCTCGTAGTTTTGACAGCGGGCCGCGCACACAGCGCCGCCGCCCCCGACCTACGCCAACTTTTAACGTGGTCTTTCTGAGTGAAACGTCTCAACTAGCGTCGCGCCCCGCCCCGCCCCGCCCCGCGTGCCTCACAATGGCCGATCATGTCGTGGCGTGCTGAACTTCCGCGTGCCTGCGACTCCGCGCTGCTCTGCGTCGGCTCAACGAGATCGGCTGGCGACGGACGGCGTCGCCCCGCCTCGCGCGTGCACTACATGTGGGCGCGGCGGCGCGGCGGCTGGGGCGGCGAAACCGGCGCGTTCCGGTTCCGGTTCCAGTGGAGCGCCTGGCGACCGTGGCGTAGGCAACCCGTGCCGCCCCGGTGCGCGCAGCCGCTGCCATGGCCTACCTCGGCGGCGTCCGCGGCGCGCGCAGGCGGTTGCCTCCCAGGGTTGCCGTCGGCTCGCTATTCTTGGCGGGGTCACCTCGGTAATGCAGGCTCATTCCGAACTGCGCTTGTCTTGTCTCTCTCGCACCCATGGGGCGCCCCGTAGCGGTGCGAGCGAGACGGGGCTCGGCTGGGAGTCAGCCTGCTGATGCAGATAGGGACCGGACCTGAGCCGCCCTCCGCGTAATCGGCGTGGCGATCTGACCGCCTCGATCGCCGCCACCCCGCAGACTAAACCCGAACTCTGTCTCTCTCGCACCGGTACGGGCCGCCCCGTGAGTGCGAGAGAGACAGAGCGACGCGAGGCGGCCGCAGCCATCAATCGGCGTGCGTCCGCCGTCGCGCCGTCCGGCCGTTCCGGGAAACGAGGCCGAAAAGGCGACGGGCCGGCCCGCCGCGGCACGCGCGTGCATCGAAAGGTTGCATCAACGCGGAATCGAACCCGCGACCTTCCCTCCCCGCCGTGAGAGGCAGCATCACCGTCTTCCGCGCCGCACTTTTCTCCCTTCCCGCGGCCCGCCAAAGACTCGACGCGCCCGCGACGGCGTGACACACCTCGTGGGAATGTGACCTGGACGCCCCCGTACCGGCCGGCGGCGTGCCCGGGGCGTGTCCGCGCTGGCCGTGCTGGCCGCGCTGCAGCCCCGCGACCTTGGGGGGGACGGCTGGCGGCACGGCGCGGCACAGCGAGTAGCCCCAGGGAAGGCTGTGTCGCTGTGTCGCGGCGGACGACTCCGAGGGACGTCCCTCAAACCCTCTCTCTCGCACTCATTGCACTCCCCACAAAGGAGCGAGAGAGATAGTAGAGCGACGGCCGCACTGCGCGGAATCTCTTTGCAGGACAGGGTGGACGGTCTATACCTGGTTTCTCCGTCGTGAGTGTGTGTGTGTGTGTGTGTGTGTGTGTGTGTCAATGGCGCCCCCGCACCGCTATGCGTGCTCCCCTTCCCCCTCCCCTCTCCGATCCCCAGGTCCATATATGCGCCGATCTGATCCGAGCGCGCCGCGCGCCGCACTCTCACTTTCTTCCTGCTTCTTGTCGCCGTGCCGTGCCGCGCCGTGCCGAGCCGCGCCGGCTTCAGTGTCACGGGCCGCAAGGTTACGCCCGGCTAATAGGCCAGCGAGACTGTCTCTCTCTCTCTCTCGCACTCGTGGGCGGTCCGCGTGGCCGCGTGGGTGCGAGAGAGACAGGCCGATGCGACTAGCGAGCGTGCATTCTCCGCGGAGAAATGGCGGTCGCGGCGTCACCCGGTCGGATTTCGGCCGGCAGCCCGATTCCGTCGCTGTCTCTCTCGCACGCGCGGCGTCTCGCAGGGGTGCGAGAGAGACAGAGGGAGGCGCGGGGCGTGCCGGCAGCAGGGCGTAACGGCAGGGCGGTGTGGGCATTGCGCAACGCCGAGGCCCGGACGGCCCGGACGGCCCGGACCCGTCCGGCGGGGTCGGGTCGGGTCGGGTCGGCCGGGCCCAAGGCAGTCCAAGGCCGCCGCCGTGCCGCCGTGCCGCCGTTTGCCAGCTGTTATAGAGGAATGCTACGTCGCCGTGCTCTCGCCCCCTCGCCCCTCTCACCGAGCTGGAGCGGTCGCTGAAAGCGAGAGTGGTATCCAGCCGGCCCGCTTCAGCCTCTGTCTCTCTCTGTGTTTTGAGGCGGCGCCGGCAGAGCGCGCTGGATGCAGTTCGCCGCACCGGGCGGACGGAAGTCCTGCCTTCCCGTTTGTCACAATCAATAACAAAGTCCCGACAAAGAAAGCGACGACGAGAAGTGTCACTCAGCCAGTTCCGAGCCGCACTCGTAGACTCGTTGCATTTCTTGGAGAGAAGCGGCTTGCGGTTGTTCATCCTTGTCTGGGCCTCCGCGCGCGACAGTCAAATTGGAACCAGTTTGAGCTAGTTACGTAAAACAAAGGCCCTGCGCCTGAGACGAGGACTGGACCGGGACGACCCGGGACACGACCCCAAAAATGCAGCTTTCGTTTGCCTCTCTGAGACACCATCAATTTCACTTGTTCCAATAAAGCCGAAAATACTAGTGTGCATCCGAGCTTCCCACAGACATCATCAAAGCCCTGCGGGCTACTGTAGACGATTTTGCCTTGAGAACTTTCATATTAGGATCGGCGCCACCAAGAAAATCAATGAATTACGGCCGATCCGAGCTGAGTGTTTTGAGAGTGAGGGGCAGAGTGCAGTGCACTCAGTGGGCTCCTTCCTGCTCACCTCGCGGTCGGCCGGACCATCGGACGCCGCACACTCATTCCGAGAGTCGTTTTCGTCGCCGTCTCTCTCGAACCTACAGGCAAACGCCCCATGAGTGCGAGAGAGACAGGGTGACGAAAACGACTCTCGGAAATCAGTGTGCTGCACCTGTTGCAGGTGTCTTCACGCCTCCAGCCACTACCGGACCAGGCGTGACCGCGCGTCTTGCATGTGTGTGTGTGTGTGTGTGTGTGTGTGTGCATCAACACCATTTTATTTCCGGAACCCGTCTGAAATGGGGAAAAGGGGGAAGTGGGATACGGCACAGCCGATCGGGTCGCGCGCGCGCGCGTGTTTGCGAGAGTGTGTGTGTGAGTGTGTGTGTCACGTAACACCATTAGGTCGCTGCCGCGGTGCCGCGGTCACGAGAACGAACCCGACCTGCCCAGGAAAGCCCTACTGACCGGGTAAAACGAGGCTGGCTCGTCAGCTGTGCGCGGGCTGCGCGGCGAAGCCGGGCAAAGCACTCACGCAGTCCGGATTCCGATCCGTTTTATACTTTCCTTTCGTTCCGGAATGGTGTCGAGCAAAATGGGGCGAAAAACGACTCCACCAAAGCACACAGAGAGAGAGAGAGAGACTTTGGAAAGTACGCGAGTCGGGAGGAAACTAATTTGCGCGACTGTACGCTCCCGATTAAGAAGAGACGAGCAGGCAATTATTTTTATTTCACTTTGACATTGAAGGGCGATGGTCATGAAGTGCACATATAACCATGGTAATGATGATGTTGGTTGCGGCGTGTGGTGGCGGCACTGGCCCCGCCCCTCGGATGATAAATGGTGTTGGCATCACTGCTTTCCCTGCTACAGGGCCTTCTTTGCGTTGCCCGCTTTGCCGCAATCCATTTTTACAGCCACTCATTGAGGGCGATCTACACACGGCGAGACGAGGCGCTCGAATTTAAAAATTAATAATCTTGTCTCACTCCACTTGGTGGCCGGTGATGTCATGCGCTGGCGGCGTGGCGGCGGCGCTGGCGGTGGAAAGTGAGTCCGAAAAGAGCCGCTGGGAGTGGACGGCCTGGCCTGGCGGCGCTTAGCCTGCTCCACCCATTAGTCAGCGACACAGTTTATCGAACCGGCCATCGCGGAGTGCTTGCTGCTTTTCGGGCGCAGGTCAACAGAGCAAAGAAACTGGCGAGGCCACGGCGAACGGCGAGGCGGCAGTCGACTCCCGCGCGTAGAACGCTTGAAGAGCGTCCTAACCTCCAAATCGCATGGCTCGACGCTCGCTCTCTTACCTGCCAAATTGAATCCCCGCTCCTCGCTGTCTCGTGCATATCATGACGCTGGCCGTTCGCGAGGCGAGCACCGCCCTGCAATCTCGCGTGTCTGGCGCGGCCGTATACACGGGAGCACCTTCTTTTATTGGGATTGTCTGCCGAGGCCTTTTCACGGTACTTGCCTCCCCCTCCCCCCTCTCTCGCCCAGGCCGTGCCACCTCGCGCCGCCGGCCGGCTAGTTTAACACGCTCCGGGTGCTCAGGGTAAATTGCCCGGATCATCACCTTTTTATCGCCCCGGCCGGCCTGGCCACCCCGGCGTCGTCGTCCTGGGCGATGACGGCGTTCAAGAGGCCGATGCGCGCCCCGCCGGAAAACCCATCCGTTCCACCATGATTTATTCCAGTGAAACAAACAATAAAGAAACGTCTTGTTTGATTGCAGGCCTGCCTGGGTCGGGGTGCTGCTGCTGCTCGTGGCCGCGAGTCAGGCCGCCTCCGAGGTGGCCAAGGATGCCAAGGAGCCCGAGCTGATCACCGAGCCGCGGCCCGGCCAGGAGTACGTCCTCGTCACCAGCCGGAACACCACCGGGCCGACCGCCGCGACCGCCGCCGCGCCCAAACACGACGCCGGTACGACGAGCCTGCTTTCAAATTACCCTTTCGTCCCGCCTGCCTCGTTGCTCGTTACAAGCTATTCCCAGGCTGTTTATTGTACAGGGCAATGCTGGTCACGAACCCCACTCGCGTTCTAAAAATCACTTTTCCTCTCAGTCCCCGCCGGCAGCCTCCCTCCGTCCCACAACTTCAAGACGTCGCACCAGATCCCCGTGCCGGTGGTGCGCAAGGCGCTGGGCGGCTCCAAGCCCGGCTCCAAGCCCCACAAGGCCCTGCTCGACCCGCGCGACGACGCCTCGGATGGCTTTGCCACGTCGCACAAGATCACCCGAGAGGCGCGCGCGGAGGAGCGGCCGGCACGCCGCCTGGACGACAAGTACGAGGAGCAGGTCGACACCCCGGCGCCGCCCCAGCAGCACCCCGGACCCAAGCTGCTGCGCCTGCTGGGCGGCTCGGCGGCCGACGGCCACCTGCCCCTCGTGCAGCTCAACCCCGCCATCCTGCCCGGTAAGTCTACATTTTGGTGCCCAAATTTGCCCCCCATCGCCACCACTCACAGTGGGCCAGAAACCGGCGGAGGCGGCCAAAACTCTTAACGCGTTTTGAGCTCCAGAGTCGCTAAATGGGACTCGAACCGAACGTGTGACCCCCACCAATGGATTGCTTTCCGAACGAGGAATCCATTGGTGGGGTCACATGTCCGTTTCGAGGCCTGTTTAGCGACTCTGGAGCTCAAAACGCGTCTAGAGTTTTGGCCGCCTCCACCGGTCTTCTGGCCCACTGTGCGCTGCCGGCGTTCAAGAGCGAAATATGTCAGCGCCGCCCCCTCCCCCCTCCCCTTCGTCGTCTGCCAGTCTCCCTTCCGCCGCGCGCTACGCGCTTTGCGCTTTCGTAACAACGCTGTTTAGCGGCGTTTTAGATTTAATCATCCGCTTATCCGGGCAGTAAAGGTGACGCGACGGCAGCGCTGCGGCCCGCTGCGGCCGCGGTGAAAACATTTGTGCGGTTCGGCGGGGACGTGCCTGGCGGGCGGGCCGCGCTCGGCCACCGCCACCGCCACGCCGAAGAAAGGAAAGATCGCGCCCCGCCAGGCCGCCAGGCCGGCAACCTTTCAGAAATACTTATCTATACTTATCGGCGGCGGACACCGACGCGACGCGCGGGCAGGTTGGTAATTCTTTTCGCACCGAACAGCGAACAACAGGAGACCAGGAAGCCGATGAGTTATTCGCGGCGCAACTCGATTTACTCTTTATTCGGAGCAGCGCTCGGCGTCTGCTTCACTTGACGGCGTCTGCAGCGGAGCAACGCGAGCAACGCACAGTGGGCCAGAAGCCGGTGGAGGTGGCCAAAACTCTAGACGCGTTTTGAGCTCCAGAGTCGCTAAACAGGACTCGAACCGGCCGTGTGACCCCACCAATGGATTCCTCGTTCGGAGAGCAATCCATTGGTGGGGTCACACGTTCGGTTCGAGTCCCATTTAGCGACTCTAGAGCTCAAAACGCCTCCGGGGTTTTGACCGCCTCCGCCGGTCTTCTGGCCCACTGTGCAACGCGAGCAACGCCGCCCCCGCGCGGCCACGCCGCCACGCCCCAGTCTGCGCCCGAACAGGGTGCTTTCGTCGCTCCGTCTCTCCCGCACTCACGGTGCGGCCGTAGGGGTGCGAGAGAGAGGCACGCTAGGCCCGTCCACGCATTGCTCGTGTCGTTATTTTCGCGCCTCGCTGCCCTACATCGCGCCGCCGCACGGCGCGCGCTGTTATGGAACGATACATTTCGTGTGAGAATGGCGCTGTTGACTGTGTTCAGAACCGAACACGCAAAGCCGTTAAAACGACGACGAAATTTCCAGAACGGTGTATGATTGTTGTGGTTGTTATGCAAGTCGCGGCACGGCGATGGCGGCGGCTGCTGAAAGTAATGAAATAATGATATCGCCTGATTGAGTGGGGCCGGAGCCGCTTCCTGCCGACTTGTTCCGAGCACTCCGTCTCTCTCGCACTCGTGGCGCGTCCCGCAGGCCGCAGGGGTGCGAGAGAGACGGAGCGACGAAGCTCGGCTCGGGCTCGGGAGCAGCCCGCCGCGACGCGTCGCCGTGTCTGTCACCCTGAGCGCTGAGCGGCGGAGCGGCCAGCCGTCTGATTCCGAGCACTGCTTTCGTCGCTCTGTCTCTCTCGCACTCATGGGGCGGGCCGTAGGGGTGCGAGAGAGACAGAGCGACAAAGCAGTGTTCGGAATCAGACGGCAGGCAGGCGAGCCAGCCGGGCGGTCCCCGCCGCGTCGTCCCCACTGTCATGCCGCGCGCTTGCGGTGCTGCGGTGTGCTGCGGTCTGGTCTAGTCGGCTCGCTCAGTAATTACGCGGCTCGGGATCGCGATTCCACGATTTGCCTGCCCGCCTTTGTCTCTGTCGTTGCCAGCGGCAGGCAGAGCGACGAGAGCACTGTTCGGAATCAACCCAGAGCCGCTCGGCCATCTGAACTGACGTCACCGCGTGGCCCGAATTCTTATCGTTCAATTTCTTTACAGCTCGGGTAACCGGTTGGACACACTCCGCGCTCTATGCCTCGAATGGGACTTGGGGCCGCCGGGATGCGGGATCGAACCAGGGGGTGTCATTGGGCGCTGGGTCGCACGGGTGTTGTAACGCCCTTACATTGTGTGGCTCGGCACGGCACGGCACGACACGCCACGGCCGCCGTTTCCTGGCGGAGGTCGCGTGCGCCGCGCTGCTTTGGGAGGCAGTGCCGCGGGGCAGCGGGGCAGGGCGCTGCCGGGGCCGGACAATCGAAAACAAAACAATGTCACACTAATGACTGCCAGACGATCTTGGCTAGCGCGGCTCGTACTGTACACACTCTCGGTCGACACAATCGACGATCAGCTTGACGGCAAGCAGCGCCCGCCCCGCCCCGCCACGCCCCGCCCCACCCCGGCTGCACAAGGTGTAATAGTTAGTGGACATCGATGGCCGTTTAGCGGATGGAAAAGAGCCGCCAGTGAAAGTCACAGCGATACATGTCCAGAAAAAGCTGCGCCAAGATGCAGCGGGACGGGGTTTCGCTCGGCGCGTCAGCGCGCCAGCCCCGACAGGCCGTCAGCGCGCGCGGCGAGAGGGAGGGCGGCGGCCAGGGCGACGGCCTTCACCTTGCCCAGGGCCTCGACCCCTAGCTTCCGGCGCGCCCTGCGACGGCCGAGCGAGCCGCCGACTGCCGGGCATCGGGCCTTTATCTCACCGGCCTTCCCGGTCCGTCTGTGTGGAAGGGTATAGTTCTTTGATCTGAACACAGGTTTTACAGACCCGCGTTTTAATCCGTTTTTTAACGGGTTGTTAAGACTTTTTGTCCCGCCGTCCGCGGCGCGGCGTTTTCTTTGTCGCCACCGCCGACTGGTCGCCGGTCCCCAAAGTGCCAATAGCTTTCCCGTTTTAACGACGGCTGCGTATAGCGCTTCGTAGTTTACGGCCGCGCATTGCCGCCGCATTGTGCAATTGTTGCGACAGCCGCGTCGTCGTCGCCGTCGTCAGCGTCGTGGCGCTGCGGGGTGTCCAGGGCGGCCCCGGGGGGTGGCGGCTCGCCACAGGGGACACCGTTTCGTCTTGTTACCCTTTTTTCGAACAGCCTCTGAGACTAATCACGGACATGTTGTTTCTCTTTTCTAACCCACAGTGTGCTTGTCCTCGCAGGTGTCGCGGGCGTGGAGATCCGACCGGAGGGCCACTCCGGGTTCCGCGGTGTCGCCCTGCCCGCCGACGACGGCGAGAAGAAGATGATGGTGCGTGGCGCACTGCCGGCGCGGTCACGTGGTTGAGTCCGTCATGAGCATGACTGACTGGCATGGCACGCATGGCACAGCATGATGCACGTGTAACAAGTTTCATCCCCCTTCCCCCTCATTCCGTCTCCCTCGCACGCCTGCGGCACGCCCCTCGAGTGCGAGAGAGACAGACCGCGCACCCTACTTTGTGGCTCGCGGTCGCTCGCGGCGCGTGGGCCGTGCCTGCCCTGCCCGGTTGTCGAATGCTACCCGGTGTTGTGGCGCCGCGCTCCGCCACGCCCCGCCGCCCCGGCCTTGACTCGCTGAGTGTCGCTGAGACAATAAAGCAAATGTCCGTCCGTCTGTCCGAGTAACGGCGCGACCTTCCAGCCCGCCCCGCCCCGCCCCGCCCCGCCCCGCCCACGATCACGCGCCAAATTTGCGACCTTTATTACTGACTCCTTTCTTCCACTCTGTCATCCACACGCAGAACTAATTTTTCCGGCCGTCGCGAGGGAGAGCACTTACCGAGCATGTCGCGCGTGTGTTCACTAACCTCCTGTCTGTTCCAGAAAGTGATTGTGTCCATCTGGTGGAGAAGGCCTAAGCACAAGGTACACCTCACCGCAGATTGTTTGTCACCATTTTGAATTTAAAATGGCGGAGTGTTCGTTTATGTTGATGTTACTGAATTTCGTCACTTGTTTTCTTCAAGGAACCGCTAGAGAGAGACAGACTGACTGTAAGGCATGTCGAACTGCACGCACAACTGCACGTCGACGTCACGGAACCGGCATGAACGTTATTTCACTCTTTTTTTTTGTCATCGACTTTAACGGCAACAATCATTATCATAACAACACGGACAACACGGACGATGGTCTCTGCATGTCGTTGCACGGGTTGTTATTGCTGACTGGAGGGAGGAGTGGACTGCACCGCATGACGAACTTTAACGCATTCTTGTCTTGTGATTTTTTTAAATGCATGGTTCTATCGTGGAACACGAAATTCAATTTTCATTTCTAAAATCAAATCGAGATTTAAACTACAAAACTTTCTTTCATTTTCCCCTCTTAACCGCGTTTTGAAAAAACTCTGATAAAAGCGGATATCTGACGCTCTGCTCCGGTTGTCGTTTTAAGAACCGCAAGGCGGCCGCCACCAGCGCTGAGGACGGCACCCAGTCCGCCACACTGCCCGCGGGACTGCTGCCGGAGCCCGCCGGCACCGCCAAGCCCGTCAAGGCCCGCCAGGGAGGACGCAAGAAGGTGACCGCCCGCCCCGTCGGAGGACCCAAGGCAAGGACGCGTTCCATTGGCTTCCTCTGCGCTCCCGACTGGCCGGCTGCCGATCTGACCGCGTCTTGATGCCGCAGGTGGAGTCCAACGCCAACCGCGGAGTGCTGCTGGGCACCTCCACCGTGACCGAGGTCTCTGTTCGCCTGGACGGCGAGGACTCGACGCACACCGTCCAGGGCCTGCAGCGCCGCGCTGACATGGCGGACCTGGAGCCGCTCACCACCACGGAGCAGCCCCCGACCGCCACGCCTTCGTCCGCGGCCGCCACCACCACGGAGCAGGAGCAGAGCGGCTTCGTGTACGTGCCCGTCAACCTGCCCAGCTCCAGCCTCCCCAAGGCCGGCGCCGAGGGCATCACCGGCAAGCAGCGCCTGCAGCAGGACGACGGCAGCTTCGACTTCGTGGACTCGCCCCTCGGCGACAAGGTGCTCGTGCCCGCCGGGTCCGCGCCGTCGCAGTCCTCGCGCGTCAACGTCAAGAAGGGCCCCAACGGCCAGGACTACGAGTACGAGTACGTGTACTACTACTACGACGAGGACGAGGACGAGAAGGCCACGGCGTCGCCCAACGGCAACGCGGGCAGCAACTCGGTGTACACGCCGCCGCTCGTGTCCCAGACGCCGCTCAAGACCGCCCCCGCCGAGGCCGCCGCCCCTGCCCCGGCCTCCAGGCCCAACTACAGCAGCCCGCCGAGGTTCTTCAACCCCACCGACGCCCCGGCACTCGCGCCCTCGCCGCAGCCAGAGCTGTGAGTACCCTCGCCGTCAACGCCCGACAGATCCGAGTTCACCGCCCCCTCTCACCGACATGCGTCTCTCCGCAGGACCCGCACCGAGGTGGTCGAGGACTTCGACCAGGACGACGAGGAGCCCCAGCGGCCCGCGCCGCCTGCCCCCTCCAGGAACAGGTACACCAGCATCGAACGCACCACGCCGGAACCCACGAGCAACGAAGTGCTGCCCCCGCAAAACGCCGTCCGCTCCAGGTACGCTGCCTCGCTGCGGTGTTGGTTGGGTTGCCTACTCGCGAGGCGCAGCGGCCGGCCCCGTCGGCCGCCCGGCACGTGTGCGGCCGGCCGTGTGTGGTAACTCTAGACAGGTGGCATGTATACCGGCGTGATGCGAAGGGACATCTGTTCCACCTGAACGATTCGTCCGAGCACAGGCCCAAAGGCCCAAAGGCCCAAAGGCCCAAAGGCCAACCCTGGCGCGGGAAAGCGGTCCATGGCGCCGTGCCGCGCGTTGCCGTGTGGACGTTCCTTCCGCCAGCTCCGCCAGCCGTTGCGCAACCATCGGGCGCACCTTATCCGGTTGTGTCCGGTCTTGGACCGGTTTATGAACTTGGTATCGGGGCAGGTGCACCTTGAGGTGCACAGACAGACACATTTTCCTTGACTGAACGCGGTGCGACGCGCTGCTTGCAGGGGCCGCGCCGAACAGGCCGCCAGCCAGCCCGCCGCCATCCCCGAGGAGCGCCTGCCCGCCAACACCCGCTTCCCGCCGCGGTCCCGCGCCGGCCCCGTCACCACCCTGCCGCCGCCCACGGACACGCCCATCACGCGCGTGCGCGTGCAGCCTGGTGAGAGCGGCTGCCTCGAAACGTGATTTTAGCCTTGTGTTTGGGGTGATTTCTACCTGCTTGTTGGTTTTGCAGCGCAAGTTCCCGGAGCCATCCGCCGGCCCAGCTTGGACCTCGTGGACGCGTCGTCCTTCCGAACGCACCCCAATGACCAGAACCTGCCGTCGGTGGTGAGCCAAGCCCCCACGGCCCCTCAGGGCCATGTACCGCACAGGCAGACCTACCACGAGCCGCCCGGCAGGACACCAGCGGCGCTCCCCGAGGAGGAAACCTACACCCCCCAGTCGCAACCCGCCTTCCCCTCCCGCCACCACTTCCACCCCGAGGTACAGCCCCTGTCCCCAGCACAGCCCGCACAGCCCGCCCTGCAAGACACCCCGCATGTCGCACCGGCCTTCCACCCCGTGGCCCAGGAGGAGGTCGAGGAGGCTGTGGAGGAGGAGTTCCCGGCCCGCAACTTCGTGCCCCAGCGCGGCTTCCAGCCCGTCGCACAAACCGAGGCGCCCGCGGCGACCTTCCAGCCCGCCTTCCAGCCCGTCCAGTACCAGAGCACGCCCGGCCCGCAGGAGCAAGGACCCCCACCCGCCCGCCACCCCACCTACCACGCCACCCCTGCCCGCTTGCCCGAGGAGCAGCCCGCCTTCGTGCAGTTCGACACTGCCGCCCGCCAACCCGTGCCCCGCCCCTTCCCCGCCAGCGCCCCTGCCCAGGACGAAGCTCCTGACCGCTTTACTCCCACCCGACCTGCAGTCCAGGAAACCCCTGTCCTTGGACAGGACGAAGCTCCCGTTCGAAGGCCTGTCATACCAGGCCGTCGCCCCTTCCACCCTGAGACCCACGCTACTGAAGCTCCCGTCCAGGAGGAGACCCCGGCCCCAGAGCAGCACGAGGCCCCCACACGCCGCCCACTGCTTCGCCGCCCCACGCACCACGAACCCGCCGCGCAGCCCGCGCAGCCCGCACAGCCTCCTCAAGACCAAACTCCTCCCCGTCACCCCACCCATCATGCACGCCGCCCCGAGCCTTCTCCCGAGGTAGAGCAAGAACAGGAGGAGACTCCCGCCTCTACACCTGCCCGCCACCCTGCACGCCGCCCCCAGCACTCTCCCGCTGCAGAGCAAGTACAGGAAGAGACTCCCGCCCCTACACCTGCCCGCCACCCTGTGCACTTCACCCGCCGCCCCCAGCCCACCCCCGCTGCCGAACCTAACCAGGATGAAACTCCTGTCCCTACCCCTGCCCGCCACCCCGCACGTCGCCCCCAGCCCACCCCTGCTGCAGAGCCCGTCCAAGACGAAACTCCTGCCCCCACACCTGCACGCCATCACACGCACTTCACCCGTCGCCCACAGCCCACTCCCGCCCCCGAGGCAGAACAAGAAGAAACTCCCGCCCCGACACCTGCCCGTCGCCCTGCCCTACCTGCACGCCGCCCCCAGCCCACCCCCGCTGCTGAGCAAGAGCAGGACGAAACTCCTGCCCCCACACCTGCCCGTCAACCCGTGCACTTGACCCGCCGCCCCCAGCCCACCCCCGCCGCGGAACCTGCCCAGGACGATACACCCCGCCACCCCACACACCCTGCACGTCGCCCTGTGCATCACGATGCTCCCGCCGAAGACGCCCACCAGGACGCCCCCGCCCACCAAGACGCCCCAGTCCGCCGCCCCGCCCTCCACGCGGCATTCCCGTCCCGAAGGCCAGCACAGCCTGTCCAGGACGACGGCGCTGACGATGTAGAGGAGGAGGCACCCGCCCGCAGACCAGTCCCCGGACGCCGGCCCCCCGTCCAGGACGCCCCCACCGCCCCCGCCGCCCCCGCACGCCGCCCTGCCCAGCAAGACGCCCCCTCCGCCCCCGCCTTCCCCGCTCGCCTCCCGACCGGCCCCCACAGGTTCCTGGGCGTGACTCCCAATGAGGACAGGGTATGTGACGCCAGGACCGCGTCGACCGCGGCCTTCCGCTCGGCCGCTCCCCGCCGCTCCTCGTCGCGGAGGTGCCACGCTTTGGCGACGCCTTCTCGTGTAGGAACGACGAGCGGCCGCGCGAGACGTCCGCGGTCGCTGCACTGTAAATATTTGTACATAAACCTGTCTGTAAATACACCCCGCTTTTCTCGGCGGCCGCTGCGGTCGCTGTTTCGGGCCACACTACGCATCGGCGGTGCTACTGCTGCCCTACCAGAGAGCACCACATTGGCGCGAAATTTGAAATGGGACTCTCTGGTTGGCCAGCCGTGGGTGCGTTACCGTGTAGTGTGGCTCGTGCGTACCTCGCCGATGGCGTGGTGGCCGCGCGGCTGCGCTTGGTGCATGGCGTCGCGCTCGCGCACGTGTAGAGCCTGCTTGACGAGGTCTGACGGTTGCAGCCCGCCCCCGTCTCAGAGGACGAAGAGGACCTGCCCGCCCCCACCCCCGCCACCAGGACGACGCACACGCCCCCGCGCTCGCGCCTCCGCCCCCAGATCCCTGGCGCCTTCGCCGCCCCCGAGGCCTCCGAGGCCCCCGAGCAGGAGGAGACCGTGGCCCCCACCGTCACACCCCAGCCTACTCGTTCTCGAGGCCGCGGATCTGTAAGTGCAAGCCAGAGTAAAAATGTGTGTACGTCGGCAGAGGGGTATGTCAACTAATAAAAACCCCCTTTTCAGAGTCGCAGCACCACCCCGAGACCGACGGTCCGCGCCGAAGAGGAGGAGGAGGAGACCCCGACCAGGGCGACGCGCCCCGCTATCCGCCGGCCCACCACCACCACCACGACAACGACAACCACCACCACCACGACCACAACCACGCCGCCGCCGCCACCAAGCACTGAGCAGGAGGTGTCCTCCACCACGGAGGTGCCCAGCACTGCCCACACTGACGACACCACAGGTACGCTCTCTGGCTGAGGCACTTCGCTCGGCAACGCAGCAATGACACTGTAGGTTTCCTCTTCGTCGCTGGAGTGCGAATCTCACGTTGCGTGGTCAGGGAATGACCTACTTGTGTGTATAAAGTTATACCCCCGGCTCTGCAGCAGCAACTCGGGCGCCTCTCAATGTACAAAAGCAAAGCAGTTTGAATTGGAAAAGTTGCACCTCGCCTGCCCTTCCCCTCCCCTTCCTCAGCCCCCTTTCCCCCGGCGCACCCCGAGTCCGCGCGAACTTTGCATGCCGCTGCTGCTGGCTCTCTCTAGCTAGCGCTGCGCCACCCAGCCTTGTGCGACAGCATCCCGATGAGGCCCTGGTCCTTCGCCAACCGAGGAGACAAAGTTCGCGAAATAGAGATAAAGATGGCAAGGTCGTTTAAGTTTTAACAGCAGGTGTTTCGTTTAAAAGATTAAAAATAGCGCGCTGAGCTGTTTGCAATTGCAACTGCGCCTTGCCTTGCACCGCCTCCCCCGGCCCGCTTGCTTCAGGCATGGCTTCCTTGTCTTGCAGCGCACACCACCGCGAGCGACATCGGCGCGCTGGACCTGTACGCCATCCTGCAGCAGACGCGCGTGGACGCCGCCAACACGGTGGACGCGCACGACGAGGCCGAGGCCACGGTGCCGGCCAGCCCCAGCCCTAGCACCTTCGACCTGCCGTCCTCCATCTCGGTGTCCATCGTCACCAGCAGCCCCACCGAGATCCACGACGCGCCCGCCACGCCCGAGGCCGTCGGCGTGTCCGCCGTGTCCGACGAGGAGGTTTCCGCCGCCACCACCACGCCTGTCCCCACCACCACGACGACCCCCTCCACGACCACCACCACGACCACCACCACGACCACTGGTCAGTTAGCCCGGCCAGACCGACGGCCAGACCGACGGACGGCCCGCGCGATGCCATGTATATGACGTATCGAAGGCAGACTCAACGCGCGGGGGTTCTTGGTTCGAATACCGGCTCCAAGGTGCCCCTTTGTCACTGCCCTTGACTGCAAATATTCATGCCACCGTCAATCTTCTTTATTTTTATTTTTGCATGTAGGGGTTTGTGCATGACCGCTGTTCCCGGGCCTTTTTTGCGTGACTGCGCGACAATGTCCGACACTCGACTCCGGTTCCAGCATGGCCCAGAACTCGGAGCCGGCACCAACACTGCGAAAATAAGTTCCCACCCTAAAAGGCACCCCTTGGCTTTGCTTCCACAGAAACACCCACGTCTGCCGCCGTCGCCCCTGGCCGCGGCCGGTACCGCGCGCGCCCTGGTGCCGGTGGAGCAGTGTCTCGTCGACCAGCGCCCGCCACCACCGCCGCCCCCGCCGCCTCCGCCGCCCCCGAACAACGCGCTCCCTCCGGCTTCCGAGGCCGGTACCGCGGCGGCGCGTCCACCACCACGACCACCGAGGCCTCCGCCGCCGCTGGAGCCGCGGAGGGCGAAGAGTCACCCAAGCGCAGTCGGTTCGGCCAGGGCCGCGCTCCCGGCGCTGCGGCGGCCGGCAGGCCCGGCAACGCCTTCGGGGGCAGGCGGGGCACCTTCGGCAGGACGACCACCGCCAAGCCCGAGGGCGAGGCCGTCGAGGAGGCCGTCGAGAAGAAGGAGGCTGCCAACGCTGAGGCCACGCCCGGCAGTGGCGAGGACGCCGCGCACGCCGCGCCGGCGCCGAGGAGGGTAAGTGGCGCACACCCAGTTGCAGCTGGTCTTCTTCTTCTTTTCGAAAATACCAGGACGCCACTATCCCGTTGCAGCCCGGACCAGGAGCCCCAGGTGCGGCCGGAGCGCGAAACCGCTTCCGCGCTGGCCCGCGTCTGCCCAGCACCACGACTGCGGCGCCGGGGTCAGGCGACCAGGCCGCCGCCCGCCCCGCCAGCATCGCCGAGCGCTTCAACAGGAGGAGGCCCGGAGCTCGCGGCGCCCTTCCCAGCCAGACCACCACCGAGGCCTCTCCCGCCGTGCCCAGTGAGGAGGAGGGCGTGACCAAAGACGAGCAGAACCACGACTCCAGCGCGGCCGAGACCACCGCACTACCCGCCACCCCCGCCACCCCGGCCGCCAAGCCCACCAGGTGAGTGCACTGTCGCTGTCTCGGCCTAGTCATTCCTTACTTGAACACTGAACTGAAACGTGCGTGTTGTTGGCAGAGCTCGCGCTAGCATCGGCGGTGGCCCTCGTCCCCTGAGGCCCGGACCACGCGTCAACATCCAGCCGCGGCCCCGGCCAGGACAGCACACCACCACCGCCCCCGCAGCGCCGGCCGCCCCCGCCCCCGCCGAAGACTCAGCCGCCAGCCCCGCCGGCGCGCCTGAGGAGGCCGCCGCACCTCCCGCCGACTCTCAAGAGGTAAGCCGCACTCCTCCCGTGCAGTCCTCTGCCTCCCGAGGAACTTGTTGACGACGGGCACCCTGTCCTCACCGTCCGCAGGCGGCCGAGCAGCCCGCCACGCCCGCCCCCGACGCGCTCACCAGGCTGCGCCAACGCCCCCGCCTCCGCATCCAAGCCACACCCAGGCCCGCCGCCCCCGGCAGCCCCGGTGGCCCCAGAAGACAGCCGTCGCCGCTCCTGAGGCGGGGCCCCGGCAAGCAGGCCAGCACCGAGGCGCCCGCCGCCGTCGAGGAGCACAGCGCAGAGGACTCGACGCCGCATGAGGTGAGCCCATCGCTGCCTATTCGAGTTAAAGTTCACGTGTCTGAGTAACTCTGCTAAATTTGTCTCCCCGCGTCCTGCAGGAGGCCGAGAAGGCGGTGAGCTCCGAGGAGGGCGCCGCGGCGGAGGCCGTGACCACGGAGGCGGCCGCAGAGCACGCCCCGAGCAGACTATCGTCCCTGCTGAACCGAAGGCGGCCCGGCGTCGCCCCCGGAGGCAGGAAGCCCGGTGCCTTGTACCGCCCGCAGCAGGCCCAGCAGGCCCAGCCCGCCACGGAGGCCGCGGACGCCGCGTGATCTCCACCGGAGGCGTCGTACATCCGTACCGAACGTTCCAACTTAAATTATGAATGAAGCCCCCGGGGGCGTGGGGGCCGACAGTGCCGACAGTGACGTCACAGCCCAGGCCGCGGCGGTGTGCCGCGGTGCTGTGGACTGAGCAAGGACTCCCAACAGTGATTCAGGGACCTCGCGTTTCCCTCAGTGAAGTCAAGCGAAGCCAGGACGAGTGATGGGTCGCCGATCCGGCCGGCCCGCGACCAGCCCAAGCAGTCCTGCAGCCTGCAAGGCGTGCCACCCATTCGCCGACAGCTGGTCGCGCTTCGTTGGCGGCTTGCGGCATGTTCGACGCCGCGCGCCGCTCCCGCCCGTCCGTCCGGCGGCGTCCTGGACGTCGTCCTGGGCGCCGTCTGCGCCTCCCCGTTGACTGACTCTGAGGGGAGCAGACTTGGAGCGTCTTCGCGCCGCGAGGCCGCCATGGCCGCCCTCGCCCTAACCCTGTCCGAGGCGACAGCACTCCACTTGGGTCGCCCTTCCGACTTAGGCTCTCTAATTGTTGTGATTTTTTTGAATCGTGTGATGGAGTCATCGAAGACAGTACTATTATTTTATAATTTGACAGCGAAGTCAGAAATGACGGATAGTCACTGCAAGCAAAGGAATAAAGAAAACGAAACGAAATCCGCGGTTCCGGCGTTGCGTTGCCAAAAAGAGAAGTCAAGGCTACTGCAGTGCCGGGCGCGGTCATGAGAAGTGAGAAGAAATTTATGTGCCAATTCTGTGGAAATTCTGTAAATAAATAATTTAAAAATTGTTTTACATTCGTGCAAGTGTTTTCCCCTTTGACGAGCGGAGACCGCGCGGTGTCTCGGGGCCGCACGGGGTATTGACGCAACATAGGCCCGTTTCCAGGGCCTGGAGTAACGCCACGCGAGGCGCGGGGGGTATCGCTCGGGCCGGAGCGCGGAGTAGCGACGCACCGGGTGGAGATCACATTCACCGAGCGAGCACCATTCTCTTTCCGAGCAAATTTTATGCATGTTCAATTTTCCAAAAAGAAAGGATTTTTTAAAATGGAGAAATGTTTTATAATTTTTTTAAATTTAACACAAGTTATGATTTGCTGGCATCACAGCAGAGGATTAAGATCTAGTCTAAGATCTAGGTCGTAGGGAAAAGAAAAGAAAGAGCACAGGAGATACCCACCCGTGCCTTCGGGTCGCATGGGTCGTCGGCGAACCCACGTCTTGGGTCGTCAGTGGCGGAAGATCGGGTCGCTGACTGGAACGCCTGGAACGCCTGGAACGCCCTGCCGGGACAGAGGCACCGGGGTGTGAAGGCGCGGCGCGGCCTGCAGGGGCTGGAGGGTCTGCATGGCCTGCAGCTCCAGGGTCGAGCGACGCTGCAGCGCGCGCGCCCGGACCTCCTCCGGGGTGCCCAACTCGCTGAGCGGGACGGGCGTCAAGTTGAGGCTGTTCTTGGGGTTGGCGACCAGCATCCAGGTGGCCAGCACGAAGGGCCAGGCGAGCACGGGCAGCCCCATCTGCAACACGGTGGCGGTTTAAGTTCCTCGTCCTGCCCGTCGAGCACCGCTTCACCGACAGCAAGTCACCGGCGACCACGCACAGCCGAGAATCGGCAACGAGTAAGTTCTTTGCTGCTTTCGGCGCATATTTTAATTTTGTTTTTGTTTCGTTGGCGCTCCGAATTGTTGGCCCAGCGGCTGGGTGGACAGACAAACCAAAGGACTTGCCGAGCAGCGTGCGAGACAGGGCAATCGGTAGCAGCGCCGTCGGTAGCAGCGGTGTCGGTAGCAGCGGTGTCGGTAGCAGCGGTGTCGGTAGCAGCGGTCGCGGGGGATGCGGCGGCCGCCCGGAAGGCCCGGAAGGCCGGCGAGGCCCGGAAGCTTCCATTGAAACAGGGCATGCTCTGCTCCTGTCACACGGGACGGCACGGGGAGGCACGGGGCGGGACCTCGCGGGGCCGGGCTGGGGGGCTGCGTTGGGGGCTGCGTTGGGGGCTGCGTTGGGGGCTGGAGTCGCAGGCGTCCAAGTGCAGGGGAGTGACCGCGGACGGGGAGGGGAGGGGGAGGGAGGGGGGAGGGAGGGGCACGGAGACACGAGACGCAATTAGGGAAAAGGGGAGAGGGAGCCGTAGATCGCATCCGATGCACACCAGGCAGGCCGGGCAGGCCGGGCAGGCCAGGCAGCAACCCCTGTCCGCCCCTGGCAGTGCAATGCTCCCTCCCCTTCCCTCCCCTTCCCTCCCTCCCCGGGCCGGGCCAGGCCGGGCCGGCGAGGTGCGGCCGGGCACTGTCCAGTTGAGATAACTCAATAGCCACACGTGGCGTATGCATGTGGCAGAAATGTTGATCAGCCCAGCGATTCTCAGCGGCGCTCCGTCGCTCTCGCACCCCTCCGGCCTGCCCAATGAGTCGGAGAGAGACAGAGCCACGATGCCGGTGTTCGGAATCGGCCTGCGGGCGAGCCGGCGAGCAGGGAGGGTCAACGCATTCCATCGGCCGGGGAGCGAACCGCGACCCGTGAACTGGATACCGGAACGAGTAACACCTCGTTCGCAAACCACGTAACGACGGGGCGTCTGCTCGCCGGCCCGGCAGCCGCGCGCAACCCCCAGCCAGCCGTCCCCAGCTCCACGCGTCGGGATTGCGATGCACCCTCACGATAAATTCCGCACGGCCTAGGCGGTCTAGGCCCTGCCTGCCTGCCTGCCTGCCCGCCTGCCCGGTCTGGGCGGCGCGGCGCTACGACTGGAGTTCCAGGAGCTTTACGAGAGCGTTTCACGGGGGAGTAAAAGCCACGCGGATTTCGCACGCAGACGAGACGGCCTCCACGGCCACCTTGCCGGCAGCGGCAGCGGGAGGATCTCCTCCCCGCCCCTCCCCCCCGCGACGGCCGGGACGGTACGGCAAACAGAAAACTAGTTGCGCGATTCCGAAGAATATTCCCCACGCACAGAATGGGCTGGGAGAGCAGCTATTGTTGTTGCTTAGGATTATTTCTGCGCATACTCATTTGACTATTCGACAATGAGACGAGGAATCTTCGAGTGGCTCCGTAAGGCTACCTTCTTCCGACCCCGCTGGCCCTTCCACCAGCCAGCCCTTCGGCCACGCCGCCCCACTTGACGTGGCAATGCTGGGGTCGGCACCGGTCGGCACGCCCTGCCCTGCCCTGCCCTGCCCTGCCCTGCCCTGCCCTGCCCTGCCCTGCCCTGCCCTGCCCTGCCCTGCCCTGCCCTGCCCTGCCCTGCCTTGCCCTGCCCTGCCCTGCCCTGCAGGGCGGGAGGGCCGCCCTGGTATTTGTAAAGGGCTCATCCGAGCGGCGGGGGTATCTTCGCCGGCACTGCCGATCCGGATTCCCCGGGATGGAAATTCGCGCCCTCTCCCCTCCGCCACTCATATCGGAATCACGACGAAATAAATGCTGCAGGCTGTTTGTGTTACTTTTCCTTGTTTGCTGTAGGGTGGTGGTGGTGGTGGTGGTGTACGTATTTAGCGCCGTGTCGCGTACGCGTGAGTATGTGTGTGCGCGCGTCGTCGGTTGCCTGTGTTAGAGTGGTGGCGAGGGGCGATGGGTCGAAAGAGGGTGTCATGGACCCGAAAGCATGCCTCGTGTCATCTGCCCCCACTAATAGCATTTGAACAATGCTCGATTGCGGCGGAATGTGTTTGCCGACGAGGGCCGGGCCATGGCCTCGTCGGCCTCGTCGGCCTCGCCTCGCAGCCGAGCGCGTGGAGGGCATCAGGGGCCAGGGTGGGGTAGGCCCGGTGGGGTAGGCCGCGGTAGAGCGGGCCGCGGTGGGGTAGGCCCTGGCGGGTCAGTACACCACGAGTAGGTGTGCGTAGCCGGCTAATTTGCGACACTGCAAAAGGGGCTGTGGGCCGCAGCCATGGCCGCAGCTGTGATTGCAAAATGCGATTGAAACTATTGCAAACACGCGGTGCGGCCGCGCGGCAGAGCGAAGGGGTGCGGGAGGCCGACGACGCGCGGAGGGGAGGGGAGGGGAGGGGAGGGGAGGGGAGGGGAGGGGAGGGGAGGGGAGGGGAGGGGAGGTGGGGCTGCGAACAGAGTAACGACGGAGGCCGACGGAGGCTTTTGTGTGTAGTTGTTGTTACATCGCGTCAGTGTGTTGCAGGGCTTTTGTGCATGTGGATATGTGAGCTTGTTTATGTGTGTTTATGTGTGTTTCAGCGTCCTCGCCACTGTCTGTGTGCAAGTGCGGGGGTGGCCGGGCGGGAGAGGGGCGTTTGTTTTGTGTATTTGTGCATGTGTGAGTGCGTGAGTTTCTCTGTGTGTGGGCGTATGTGTGTGTAGACACCATTACTTGATTTCAGTGTCGCGAATTATGCAGCAGAGTGTCACTCCCACTGTGCATCCCAGTGCACCAATATAAAGCTGTGATGCTCTTTTTCGTCTAGGCGGCGTCATCTCGGCCGCCTCCGCCACGCCCCACCACGCCCCGCCACGCCCTCCTCGCGCCAATGCATTTCTGTGGAACGACAGCCAGCCGACAGCCGGGGCGGGGACGGCGCGGGGGCGGGGGCAGGGGCGGGGGCACGAGGGGGCGCGTTACGTCCACGGCTTTGGCCGAAACGACTCTCATGGTGCTCGACTTGCTCGACTTGCTCGACTTGCTGGGCGACGCCGCGGGACACAACGGGGCGGGAGAGCGTTCCCACATGCCAGACATTCGAAAAGCGCTCCTCTCCGATTTTCCCGATTTTCCATTTCTACATTTTGCCGCGCGCTGCTGCATGCGTTCCAATCATTCCACGGAGGGTATGCAATGCGCCGCCCCCCGCCGTCCAGTGTATGTGCGTGGCTTTCGCTCGCGAGGCGTGATGCGATTCGACTTTTTCCTCTGGTGCGCGCGTTGCGGCGTTGCGCACCGCCCCCGCTTTGGCGACCCCGCACTGGCCCGCCGGCAGGGGAGTCCGGTGGCGCGGGGACGCCGGCCCACGCACATCCCCGTCAACGCCGAGGCAATATGGAAGTTGCAGATTGCTATCCAAACTCGCCCCCGCGCGCGGACCACGGCCCGCCCGGCCCTCGCTGGACGCAGTGCGACGCACCGGGCATGACGCTGGGCTCCACACGGGGCTCCGATTTCGAATCGCCATCATCTCCATCGCCCACATGAGCGGATTGGGAAGCATCCCTGCGGGCTGCATGCAGGCACGCCAAGGCGCGCCCGGGCACAGCATTCCGGGCGAGCCTGTGGCAGGGCCGGCGCGTGGTGGGGCCCGATGGACTTGTAGGGGCCCACGGAGTCGGTCCGGACTCAGGGAAACCGCCCTCGGACAGCCCGCTGCAGCGCGCCAGTCCGTCACCGAGCAGTGCAGTGCTCGCCCACGCGCCGCCACGCCGCCAAGCGCCGCGGCGTCCTTCAAACAGCCCTCGGGCGCCGCGACGCCGCAACACCCACGGGTTGGCAGTGGCGTGGTGGCGGTGGTGGCGGCAGCCGCCCACGCACAACAACAATGCCCGGGGCTGTTGGAGGCGAAGAATGAGGCGGCCTCTGCAGCGGGCTCATTCCGTCCCTCTCGCACAACCACAGCACGCTCCGTGAGTGCGACAGAGACGGCCTGCATGCCGGCCAGGCCAGCGTCCTGCATAAACAAAGCGCTCCTCCCCCGCCGCAGCTTCGTTGACAAGTGTAGCTCGCATCGCCGCGCGCGGGGCGCTGTGCGGGGCGCTGTGCGGGGCGCTGTGTGGCGCACTGTGCAAGGGTTGTCGCGGAGGTCACGTGGCGGCTTCGCAGAGATCGCGGGTCTGTGGTTCGCGGTTCGCGCCTCGCGCCCCGGTGGCCGCGCCCGGTGGGAATATAAAACAAGCCTCGCGCGCCGCCACGCCCCCGCCATGGCCAACGTCACAGTGAGGGGTGACGCAGCCGCCTCGCAGCGTTCTGGAGGTTCTGGATTCCAGGTCAAATGAAAATGCCAATTTGAGACATTCCCGGCTGGCTCCTAGGGTGGCTCGCCTCAATAAAAACAAGCTTGAGGGAAGGAAAGGAAAGGAAAGGAACCTCTATATTAATTGAGGCCGGGCGGCCCGTGCCGTGCCGTGCCGTGCCGTGCCGTGCCGTGCCGTGCAGGGGCGCGTCATGCGACGTGGCCGACCGTAGTGACATGGATCGGGGAGTGTGCTCCGGTCGCTCCGTCTCTCTGGCACGGCATGAGAGCGAGAAGGGCAGAGCCCCGAAAGCAAACTGCAGCACAAGATGCCCGTGATGAAGGCGCGTGCGGCGCGTGGCATGTAGCCCGGCCTACCGGCCTCCCTCCCAGAATCAAGCTTGCCCACTAATTCAATAATTCCACGCGTCATTACCTCCGGGAGGGATCCCCGGACAAGGATACCTTATCGCGCAAACGTATCAAATTTCTGCAACCGCAGCTCTTAGTTTCGGAGATGACAACCTACCCCTACCCGTAGCATTCCCCCCCCCCCTCCCCCGCGGCCCCCTCCCCTCTCCATCCCGTTCCATCCAGATCGCGGCCACCAAACTTTGGTGGCGTCGGTCCAAGCATTTGTGGGCGCCGTTGGGGGCCTTTGCTTGCCGCTGGTGCCGCTGGTGCCGCTGGTCTCCGCGCCCCGTTCGGCCCCTTTGGCCCGTTTGCCGTTGGCTTCGGCTCGCTTCGGCCCGCTTCGGGTCGCTTCGGCTGCAGCGAGTGCGGTGCGGCCGTGCGTGGCCCCGCGTGCAGACTTCGCACTGCTCTCTCGCACCCACAGGACGTCCCGTACAGGAGTGAGGGAGACGCTTTGATCCACTGTGCTGGTCCATTGTAGTGCGCTCTGGTGCATTTTGGCCTACCGGCTGGAAACTCCTGGAGAGCGCCCCGTAGGCCAGGGAGGCGGTGGCCGCGCCCACGAGGCCCAGCACCACGGACTGCGTGTTGAAGACGTAGAAGATGCTCCCCAGCGCGCTGGCCGTCAGCAGGGGGCAGTAGCCCCACAGGCCGGCGTAGAGGTCCGCCAAGTCCGTGCCCGGGCACAGCGCCACCCCTGCGGACAGAGCAGAACAAGAACAGTGCCCTCGGACTCGGGGCTCAAGACTCAGGACTCGCGACAGGACAGGCCACAGACTGGCCAGCATTCCAGGCAGCGTGGAGTCAGTCTCCTCCTGGAGTCAGTCTTCTCCGGTATCGGCGGTTGTTACGGGACTTTACAGCTTTCTGCATCGACATCAGATCGACGGCCTACTAGACTACTTCCGCGTCCACTCACCCCGAGGTCAACCTGTAGGCAGTCGAAGCGTGTGTCTGTGTGAGACCCGCATAACATGCTGGCAGGTCACGGTAATTTTTGCCTACCCACTCGGCAACACCGGTCGCGCAGTAGGCCGCGAGTAGCAGACTCGGGTACGGCCCGGGCGGCGGGACGGGGGCTTAACAACAGCTCCGGGGCCGTACACGCAAACGGCGCTGGGCGGCCGTGTAAACGTGTAAACCAATAGCCGAACAGCGAAACAACTCTTTGCTCGCGTCCGCACTGCGCGTCGCCACGCCGTGCACAGCGCAACCCTGCAGCCCCGTGTCTTGTCCCTTTCACCTGCACTCCCCATCTGCATCCCCATCAACCGCATCCGCCGCACCCACTCGATGGCCGCAACGGTGTTTGGCGCAGCCCTATCATGCTTGTGTGTGTACGTTAATGTGGAGGGGAGCATGCATGCTGCACCAAACATTAGAGGAGCGAACAGCCCACTCCACCCAATGGTGAGGGTGGCGATTGGTTGGTTTGCAGGGAGGGTGGCGATGTGTGTGCGTGTGTGTCGCCTGGTGCACAGCTTCTGCATTATCGGCCCTACCCATGTGTGCCCGACGCACAACAAGAAGGGGGTGGCGCGCCATGGCGGGGGCAGATTAAACGGTGGGTCGGCTTACTGGCTTTGCGTTGACCGAAGAGAGGCAGCGCGGCGGCGCGGCGGCGCGGCAGCGCACAAACAGAAAGAGACGCGAATCCAACCCCCGCCACGCCCCGCCACGCCACGCCGCGCCACGCCGCGCCGCGCCGTGCGCGCTGCTGCGGACTCCCGCGGGCTGTGTTCTCCAGTGGGTGGGGGGGTCCGCGCCGATGAGGGTGGGGTGCTTTGAGGTGGCGCGGCGGGCGCGGCGGGCGCGGCGTGTGCGGCGTGTGCGGAGGCTCTCCTTGGGGACCGTCTCGTCTGCGTTGGCCCAGACCGCCCAGACCGCCCAGACAGACGCGGCGGCGAGACTCCCCCACCCCACAAGGCCCACAGACAAGGAGACAAGGGGCTCAGTCACCTGCGGTAAGCTCCGCCGCGGCCGCCGCGCTAACAGGAGCACCTCGGGGACTTCCTCGGCTCGGCGCCCACGGCGCCCTGGGCCTCGCAGCGGCCCTTGACGGCACCCCTACGCAAGGCAGCCCCCTTCACCTCGCCTCTCCTCCCCACTGCGTGCGCGCCGTGCGTCCAACACGTGCCTGGAGACACCTGCCCCAACGCCGCGCCGCGTCGCGCCGCGGTCGTCGAGGCAGACACGGCGTCGCGGTGCTCGCGGTGCTCTAGGGGCTCCGAGAGGCGCTATTTGCAGAGCACTGCTGCCAGCGCCGTAATCGCGGCTCAAATCCAGCGGCGGGTCCAAACGGCCCAAGATGGGAGGAGCAAGAGGGAAAGGGGAAGGGGGCTCGAATTAGCGACAATTACACGCGCAAAGTGCACGTGTGACTTTTTGCCTGCCTGCAGGCCTGCCTACAGGCCCCCGGTCTCCTCATCGGGTCCCCTCCGGTCGTCGGCCTGCTGAGTGAAGGCAAGTAGGCCCGGCCCGGCGTAATCACGAGTGAAATCGGCGTTTCGTCCGATACGCTTCGGCCAGGCGGGCGGAACGCGCTGCACCGACTGCGCCCTCCGTTTTCCACCTTCCGTTTTATGGATTCGCCGCCGATCTAGGAATTTCCACCGGGAAAGGGTGTCGCGACGGGCCGAGATAGGCGGCATAAAGTTTGCTCTTCGTGGAAGCACCGCGGCAAGGCGCGGACAAATCGATATCGCCGGCCGTGGCGCCACGCCGTACGCCACGCCGGCGCGTGCGATACTTATTGTGGAATGATAGCGGCTGGCCGGCCGCAGGGCCGCGGGGCCGAAGGGAAGGGAAGGGCAGTGTAGTGGGCTGCATGGCGGGGCCGCGCACCTCGCGCGCCTCGAATGCCTCAATGCATATCACGCTGCCCGTCCGCGCGGCGTGTCCGAGGCTGTCCGAGGCCGTGCCCGTGCCCGAGGCCGTGCCCGAGGCCGTGCCGCAGTAAAACGCGTTTATAGCGCCTCGAGACAGAAGCCGTCGCGGCGAGACGCACCTTCCCCCTCCCCCTCCCTTCCCGGAAGACGAGGCCTGCGCACTGCGCAAGGCGGGAGGCCTGCAAGGGGCGAGACACCTACAAACCCAGATGCACGAGGGCGGGCATCGGCGTTACTGCTGCTGGGGCCGGCTGGGCCGCCGAGGAGTAAAATGAACGGAATAGCTCGAAAGTAATAGGGGGTGTCAGTAGGGTAAGGGGACGGGGCCACCTCCAACAGAGCCCCCGTATGCTCGCGTGATCCTACGGAAGACCGAGAGCTTGGCTGTGTTATTGGTTCCGTCCAGACTGGTCCAGACGGATTGAGCAAAAGTATAGAAGTGGCGGAGCCCGACTCCTTTGTTTGGTTTGCAGACAAACTCATTTTGAGAGACCAACAAGTAAGCCCGCTAATACCGGCTCCCGCCCACCTGGTTCTCTCTGTCTCTGTGCGCGGCGTGCACGGTCTAGCCGGTGCGCCGGGACATTGGCCAATCCGAGATCCCCTGGCTCGGCCCCTGGCTGGGGCCCCAGAGTTCATTCCCACAGAGGTTGCCTTCGAAAATAAACTCGAATGCGGAATTCCTCGGGGAATTAAACATAGCAGCACACGAGAATTCCCATATCCAGAGGCCGGCATGATAACCAAGTGCGACGCCGAGAGAGGGGCGAGGCAGCAGAAATTCGGAGAGGAATATATGAAGCTGTGGTGGGAGATGCGCGCTGGCGAAGACGCAGCGGCAGAGCAGCAGAAATGCAGCGGGAGATGAAGGATTTACTGCAGTCACTGCAGTGCCAGCGCATCAAGTGCCCAACGAAAGTGGCAATAATCGAGTTTACGGGGGCGGGATGGGGGGCAAAGGAAAAGGCTGTAAAAGAGATGTCAACGCCGGAGGCGATGATGCAGGTGGCAATGGCCTCGGCAATGGCCGTGGCGGCCGAAGAAACTCGCCGGAAGCAATATCGTTCTTCCTATATTTTTGGGCGACCTGGCCAAATTTCTTCTACCCGTGAATCAGCTGAAAGTCAAAAACAACAGCCTTATTTTGTTGTAGGAAAATTGTCCTGGAGCCGTGTTTTGATGACAGAAGCACGGGGAGGTGAAATGTGGCCAGGTCGAAGTCGGACAAAAAAATCTCATTCAACGAACGTTAATGAAAGCAGATGATCCATTTCGTTTCACAACTGCTGTGATAGCCGAGAGGTTAGAGACGTGGGATCGAGTTACCGCAGGCGGGCGTTCGAATACCAGCATCACAAAAGTTTTTTCGACTTGCTATCCTATACCCCTAAGGGTGGTGGTTCGAGGCCATGAGAGCGGAGCCGTGTGCAACAGGCCCACATGCCGGAGGTTCGACTCCTATCAAATATTTCCATTTAATTTTACTGCCTCACGCAGTGCGGTTCAAACCCGTAAACGTGAGCCCACTCTGAGCATGGGACGTGGTGGTCCAGGGAGTAGAGGCGTCGGTTCTCAGTGCTGGGGTCGGCGGTTCGACTCTCCCAACTTCTTGCGATATTTTGACCGGGTCGGTCGAGTCCTGTTGCGTCAAGAACCCACCTCACGCCGATCCCCTCATCATGGGCCGTGGTGGCCGAGAGCTTAAAGTCGTGTGATCCCGATGGCGGGGTCCGGGGATCGAATCCCATCACTTCATTTCATTTTTCGACCGCCTTCCTCCCAGTGCAACTCAAACCCGTCGTCCAACACGCTGCCAGACGTACAAGCGTGATAGCGTAGTGGTCAGAGTCACATTCACCTGGCCACTCCGCTGTGGGTGTCTAAAAAGCAATTCGCTTCGGCGGGTTGGCCTCGGCACTGGAGCGATGGCGTATTTGATCCATCAATCCAGACCACCCGATGTGTGGTTGCGGGTGGTGCCTCCTCGATTCGTCGGGGAGGCGATGATAAGTCCTTTGAAGCTGGCCTAAAACGCTGTATGTTCGGTACGGGAGCGCCGGACAGTGGGGGTACCATGGGGTACACAACCAACCCTACGAAAACATGAAGCTCCCACCAAACCTCTTCTCTGTCTGAGTCTCTCTCTGTCTCTCTGTCGTCTCACTCTACGTCCCGCCCCTCTAAGAGCTTCACACTGGGTGCTCCGACCCAGCTGTCTGAGCTTTGGGGTCCTACTGGGTCCCCCGGCGAACGCTTGGGTCGCTGACGGGATTAACCCCAGGTACCTGATAGCACCGGTTCCCATCCCGAACACCGAAGTAAAGCAGGAGGCCTCCCCATTAAGACTGGGGAGGGGGTGTAGAGTTCAAATTTTTTTCTTTTCCCTTTCAAATTTTTCGGTTAATACTCGTTTGGTTTCCTTATACGGGGTAGTATGCGGGCTCATTACAAAGATAGTAATTAAAATTCTGTATGAAACAACGGACCCGAGCGTCGAATTCCGCGCAGGCTGCGCCTCATTGCCAGCCAGCCACACGCACAAGCCCGCCCCGGCAGCCAGCCCCTATTATATTGTTTAGGATACGCGCTTCGTTTCTGAACTCGAGAGTAAAAGCACGCTGACACCTTCGTGTATAGTAGTTTTAAGTATGTTTCAAGTGTGAAGTCATCATCTTCAAAAAATGAGCATCAGAACGAATTCCAGCAGTGTCTCCTCACCGAGGAGGGTGCCGACGGCGGCCCCCAGGATGCTGACGAGGAACAGCATCGGGGAGAAGATGAGGAAGGCCACGTAGAGGATGCAGCAGGACGACACGCTGGAGCAGGCGTACACGGGGCCCGGCGCCATCAGCACGCTCGTGGCGACCTGGAACACCAGGAGGCGGTGTGCATTTTGCAAGCTCCTGACTGGCAGCTTTTGATTGATTTCCTGATTTTCGCACCAGTCCCCAGTCCACGGAAGAGGCGTTGGCGGGGAAGGCGGGCGGCGGCTCCCGGTCCGGAGGGATCCAGGACGCCTCCACGGCCGTCCAGAGCGCCACCAGCACGTTGAAGGCCACGTTCAGGGCGGGCAGGTCCACCCGCGAGAAGGCCGCGGCCAGGCTGCGGCTCAGCCACGCGCTGCCAACATGCAAGGCCCAGTGTTGTGGCGTGTTTACAGGCAGGAGGACTTTTGCCCTGGTTCCTGGACACTCCACCCGGCCCCACCTGATGGCGCTGAGCGCGACGACGACGCTGAGCAGCCAGGGCCGACCGTGCAGTGCCGAGCCGCCGCCCAGGGTCACGCCGATGAGGGCGCCGTTGAAGGTGAGCCCCGTGAGGCCGTCCTGCTGGCCCAGCAACGTGACGGCGACGAGCATGGCCGCCGAGGCCCCCACCAGCGTCAGTCCCGCGCCCTCCGGCCCGGAGTTGTCGTCCACGGCCATGGCTGCGCTCACAAACACGAGGGCTAAGGCAGGCCGGCCCCAGGGCCGACCGGCACTGGCAGTGTCGTCCACATCCACAGCGTACACCTATAAAGCGTTGCAGACGTCGTTGTGGTGGTGCTGGTGTCTTGTGAATCGGGGAGGATGCCGCCAACTTGACTGCCGCCGTATCGGTCCCCTACCGCCCGCCGGCCCTTGGGACCAGCCCTTGGGACCAGCCCTTGCGACCAGCCCTTGCGACCAGCCCTTGCGACCAGCCCTTGCGACCAGCCCTTGCGACCAGCCCTTGCGACCAGCCCTTGCGACCAGCCCTTGCGACCAGCCCTTGCGACCAGCCCTTGCGACCAGCCCTTGCGACCAGCCCTTGCGACCAGCCCTTGCGACCAGCCCTTGCGACCAGCCCTTGCGACCAGCCCTTGCGACCAGCCCTTGCGACCAGCCCTTGCGACCAGCCCTTGCGACCAGCCCTTGCGACCAGCCCTTGCGACCAGCCCTTGCGACCAGCCCTTGCGACCAGCCCTTGCGACCAGCCCTTGCGACCAGCCCTTGCGACCAGCCCTTGCGACCAGCCCTTGCGACCAGCCCTTGCGACCAGCCCTTGCGACCAGTCCTTGCGACCAACCCTTGCGACTGGCGGGGCATGCCCAGGGTGTCCTTGGCCTCCTTTCGGACTGCCAGATAGAAGGCCTTGTCAGCCGCTGCATCTCGGACCGGCGCAGGGGACGGGGCGGCGGGGGTGTCGGGGTACTCGCGGGTCCACCGAGGGACCACACAGCTCTGGGTTAGTTTCATTTCATTACCGGCGCTGCTGCGCGCTGCGCGGTCCCAGTGGGGCCTCGCCGGCCTCGCCTCGGACCGCTCCGCCACCGCGGCCGGATAAGGGGAAGAGACGGCGTCGCTTGGAAGTCGCATGCAGTACGAGAGCGAGAGCCAGGGCAGCCAGGGCCACATCCGAGGCCACATCAAGTAAATCTTTGGCAGTGGACGTGGGTGCCGAGTCTTAGCTCTAAATTACCCCCATCATATGATTGGGCCGTGTGCCAGGGCGAGGCGGGGCGGGGTGGGGCGGCGCGCGGCGGCGCGGGGGAGGACCCGCGTTATGCCCATGCGGTCCATGGACTTCTGGAAAGGCAGAGCCGCCTCGTCTCGCCCCGCCTCGCCCCGCCCCGCCACGCCTCCGGGCTTGCTCGCAGTTCCTAATATATTTATTATCAAGGGAGAGGGGGCTGGGTCGTAGGCGGCCTGCGACACAGACGCAAGGACACAAAAACATCGTGTCACGCTTTAAGTACATGTCTTTCGCATGAAACCGCCCTAACACCGGAAATCACATCATTCCCCAGGGGAGCGTGCAAGAATGTGTATTGGACGCTTCGGTGCTGGTGCTGTGCGAGTTGCCTCTCTGCGCCTCAGACACCAAACAGTGATTTTATGTTCAGTGCCAGTCAGTGTTTTCAGCAGATTTAAAAATTTCCCTTGAATGTAACTAAGAAAGAAAGTGTTGGCCACGGTACTGCACACAGCAACTTCCGATAAAAAAATTCTTGAGGCAAACAGAATTTCGTGGAACCTAAGAATGAAGAAAGAAATTTCGGTGAGGAAGGTGAGACGCTGGGACGTACCGACGAGAATGAGGGCCCCGGAGAAGGGGTTGTCGAGGAAGCACGGCGCCCCCGTGGCCCTGAGCACGGCGTGCAGCCAATGTGCTGGGCCCCAGCACGACGCCATGGGGCGGCCGGCGAGGGCCCTGGACACGGCCGGCGAGCTGCCCAGGAGGATCTGGCTGAGCGCGCCCTGGCCGTGGACGCCCTGCAAGCAACGCAAGCAAGGAGGTGCTATGACTCACGCCAAGGCGCTGCCGCCTGAGTGAACACCGGCGGTAACGTGCCGTTGTAACGTTATGCCGACTCTCACTTCGTCTGCGTCGCTGACGACCGACACCTGGTCCGGCTCGGGGCGGGTCTGTCCGCCGGCCAGCCTGGCGTCCTTGGTGGCGGAGAACATAGCGGGGGCGGGCACCGCGCCGGCCTCGGCAGCGCCGGCAGCGCCCACCCTCCCTCTGGCCCCATTCAGCCAGCCCGACGACATCCGCGTATTTCTGCCAAAACATAAAAGCATCATCCTCCTCCTCCTTGAGACCTTCAATTCAACACGACCGCGCGTTTATTTTGTTTTCCTGACAAACAGAACCGCCGGACACCGACCGCATTTCGCTTTTGGTTTTCTCTGTCGTCACGACCTGGCTTGCCACTGGCCCTTTTGAGGCGTGCGTAGGCAATCCCACAACACCCCCCCCCCCCACCCCTGCCCCCTCTCTTTCGCCTTGGCAGCGACATGGCGGCCCGGCCGCGGCCCGGCCCGCATAACACCGCGTACAAGCACACACAATGTAAGTCGGAGCGACATAAAAGTACAGCCCGGTGAAGCATCGGGTTGGCCCAGTTGTCCCGCACCCGCTTCTGCTGGCCCGATGACGTCGGCGTCGACCAGCACGTGTGCGGGGAAAGTACAAGGAAGCGCGCCGAAAAGACAAATCGAGTGTCGGGTAATTTCGCATTTTGGCGGGAATGCGCCTCATACGCGGTGTATTTTCCCCGTTGCCTTCCACCATAAGGCGGTGGTGAAGTAAAAAGAGTCACCCATAAAAAGCAGCACGCCGTTCGGGAAAATGTCAAAGGGCAGGGCGGCCGCCTAGTGCGTAGGCTTGTGTCGGGCCCGAAATGGCATACGATCAGTTGTGGTCTAGCCCGTAATGGTAATGGCAATGGTGGGTAGGCTGCCCGCGGCACAGCGGTGATCTCTCAGCTGCGTGGGTTGCCTACCCTGACATCCACAGGCGTCAGTCGCCGGAGAGAGTCTCCGTCTGCGCGCCGTCTTTTTTAGGCACGAAGTAGCCTTATAGTATACCCAGGACTCAGCCGGCTCGAGATTTGATTTGTGTGGCCCTTTATGCATTTCGGAAGTTTTCTATACGATTTTAATGAGATTTTGCAGACTAGTAGAACTTTGAACGCTGATTCTGATGTTGAAATCTGGTCAAAAATTTGGTGGCCAATTTTGAGAAATTTGCTGTCAAAATCGCCGTTTCCATGGCAAAACTCGACTCGTCAAAGGAAAAAAAAGGGAGTGGGGGGAGCCGAGCCGGGGCGGACCAATAGCGGAGCTTCTTTTTGGGTCTGTACAGCTTACTCCAAAAGCTGAAAAAGCAACGTTCGAAATGAAAAATTTCTTTGACTGCAGGTAGACAAGATGCAACAATAGAATTGGTGCCGGTTCGAACGCAGTTTTTCGGGTAGAACTATCCAATAATACTTCTTGATTGGAGTGTTTTTGGACATGCGCAGTGTTGTTGTTGTGATTCAGTTAGCACTAGGACCACTTCGCTCCACCTCGCGACTTGCAGTGCTCATGTTCCTCGAACAAGACTCACCCGCGTTTCGAAACCATCCCTCCCGAGTTTATGAAGTTTGTCAAACCAACCGTCGTGGTGTTGATACGTTGCAAGGGAGAACTATTACACAGAATTGAAGAAAACATGACTAGAGAACCATAGCCTTTTGAAACAAGCCAAACAATTCAACGTCCACAACAATGGAGGGGCAGTTTTAATGCGTGACTGCTGGCGCTTTCAGCTTCGCGATTTTCGCAAGGGCGCAGACGCCGAGAAAATAGTTGCCAACCCGAGAAAATTAATTTACTGACTTCTTTCTGCTAAGAACATTTTAATCATGATGGACTTCAAAGATGTTCCATTGTCAGAACACTGCGGAATACATTAGCATTGGAATTTTTTGAATTTACCAGCATTTTGATTTCTATTTATTGTCAAGTTTAAATTTCGACGGATGGCACATCGACCACATTGGTACCACTGCCATTGGTAGTCCCCTGAGCCACAACTTCACAACACCACTTCTTTTCTCTCTCCACACTCTTACACAATAATCAAATTGACTTCGTGACTCCTAGGATTTCTTGAAATCGTATTTTTTCATATTCGGCTTGCGCACAGGTGCGTTGAATGGCTCTCCGATGATTCCTCTTCACGTGGTCCCGTTTTCGGCAGTCGGACGAGCTCCAATTACTGCATCCAGCCTCGGGCACGTGTCCCGAGCTCGGTCCCCGTTCCAGCGAGTGCGACATGCGGCCTCCGAGGCCGGACTCCAGAGAGGCATTGCAATTAGTCACTGTTTATCGTGACCGGAATTAAAAGCGGCGATTGTGTTGCGCTGATTGAATTGCGAGCCCGCGCGCACACACACAACGTGACGTCACTTGCACCATCCACATTGTTTTTGTTGTTGTTTGCTCTGCGAAAGTGCATATTGCAGCCGCGGCCCACGCACCCCCAACCGGAAGAAAATACAGTGGCGTGGGTGGTCGTGGCGACCCGCAAACACCGCGTCAAACCCACGAAACTGGCTTCTCGGCCTTGGAGCTCCTCCAGGCGATAATTCGTCGCGGTTCTGCCTGTGTGTCTGCTGCCTGCTGCTGCCTTCGAGGCGAGGGTCTTGAGCGCCTTGCCGCCGCGCCCCGCGGCACTCCATCTGCGGCCGGCATGGCAAACGCCCCTATCGCTTTCACCCGGGGCAGAACACAAGCGAAGCGAGCAGACTGAGGCGCGCGCGTGTGGAAGTGTATGGTGGTCTCTTTGAATTGACCCCGAAAAATCGATACATATATTAGTCAGTTTCATCGGAATGAGCGCACGGGGCGCGGGGCGCGGCCAGGCGGGGCGCGAGGGTCATATATTCTGCTCCTGTCTTTCCGCCGACGCCCCACCCTTTCCCCCACCGCAGTGACCGAAGACCTGGAAAATTGAGAACAAACGCTTGCAATATTTGTGAATTATTGCATTGGCCGCGGAACGGGGAGGGGTGGGGCGGGGTGCGGTGGGGCAATGCCGAGGTGGTGGGCTCTGATTATCCCCGGCTGGCTGGGTGGGCCCCAGACTGGCTGCAGTAAGTGTCAGGATGCATAACCCAAGCTCGAGCAGAGCA